TAACATAGGCCAGGTGGCGTTAGTCTACCACTTACGGTTTTGGAGTTATGACCCCCGAGCGAAGCCGCTCTGTTCGGGGTTGGTGGCTACACTAGGTCTGCCCCGAGTCTGAAATTTGAAACCGGAAGTGGTAGACTAACGCCACCTGGCCTATAATACTCCCCGGTCCGATTTACCCCTATACCCCAAATTTCAGACTCGGGGCAGACCTAGTGTAGCCGCCAACCCCGAACAGACCGGCGTCGCTCGGGGGTCATAACTCCGAAACCGGAAGTGGTAGACTAACGCCACCTGGCCTATGTTACTCCCCGATCCGTGTTACCCATATACCCCAAATTTCAGACTCAGGCAGACCTAGTGTAGCCGCCAACCCCGAACAGACAGACAGACAGACAGACATACAAACGACAGTCTCAAATATATATATAGATTTACATAGTAAGGCCGTGGTTTATAATTGTCTATGTTTAGTTATACATCGATAGGATGGTTCAATAGGCAGAACCTAACCCAGAGAAAAACCTCAAGGAAAACACTTGTATTACTTTCTGGGCATCATGTATGTATACACATAGTATAATTTGAGCTAGCTACACCTTGCCACAACATCACTGAGCATTGTAAGCTATCCACTTTCTGCCCTCCCCCTCCAGCGAAATGAACATTTAATTTCGCCATGTCATATTCATTGATCTTGATATGTATTTTTTTTTCTTGCAAGAGAACGGGAGACAACTCGATTTTGTAGTGTATCTTTGGTATGTATTGTGCTGTTATTGTAGAGTATATTTTCACCTGAAATAGCCTAATTGAAATTTGGTATGTACTGGTCTAGGGATAATCGACTAAGCAATATAGTAATTAAAAGTGTTTAAGGGAATAATGTTTAACCACTTTACGTAATGGTAGATCTGTTTAGAGAGAGAGGAGAGAGAGAGGGATGGGGTTTAACGTCCACTCGACACAAACTAGGTCATTTCGGGACTAACCTATGGTTCAATTTTATTTCCATAATTCGCTTGTGTGTAGGGATCTTTAGCAGTGGGGGGAATGCGGAGGACCCGGAGAAAACCCACGAGGTTGGACAGGCGACCCTACTCCTTGTCACGTACAACCGGGGAATCGAAACCACGCCAGTTGACTCGATAACAGTCTTTATGATACAGCGGCACGTGCTAACCATTCATCCATCAAGCCGCCCAGATTTGTTTATAAGTTAGTAACATGTTTCTATAGATGAAGCAACTTAACAACTCAAGGGGGGGGGGGGGGTGTTGATTCCATGATTCGACTGTAAATTTTAGCGTTTATCTTATATTGGAAATTGAATCATGCATATTTTCATTTGAGTTTGATTTTTCCTTTCAGTTTTTTTTATTTGTCTCTTGTCAGAGAAGTCTAGCATCCTGAATACGAATTTGGATCTTCTGGTTTTGGCAACTTGAAACCCTAGTACAAATCAATCCAAACCCATCCTATTACATACACTGAAATTTGGTTACTTGATTCGTGCGAAATTCGGTGAATTCGTTTTTAATGGTGTTTTGCAGTGGCTACATGGCGTTCTATTATTAGCCATAGGACATATTGTGGGTCTTTTCACTTGGTTTGTGAGGACGACTTCTGTGATTTGGTGGAATGATTGATAATTGGGAACAGGATGAAACTGTTACCGTCATTGGTAAATGAAATCGATCAGTTGGGGTGAACATACTGACTAAACTTAGGATACACTTATATTTCCAGATGGTGATTAATCCATCACAAATACGTGAATTATCTGTTCTTCTCCTTGAAGTTTATATTAGACGCTGTGAATATATTGTAGAATTAGACAATTCAGGCATTGAGTATATATCACTTGTGTGTGTTGTCAGGAGACTTTTAAACAGACACCGACGAACAATTATTATTATTGTGACCATTGTTATTCTGTTATTGTTTATGTGATTATTTTACTGATGTGTGAGTATTTTATGAAATAATATATTTGTTAAATTTATACAACTATTATGCATTTCATTATAATTAAGGGGAGATAACCGTATTTTAATATTTTGATTGATCAGGACTCAGACTAGCAATTATTTGCCCATTGACTTCAATGTTAAATGACTGTAACATCACAGGCTGTAGCTTTTTGCTCAACATTCCGTTGGTTCCAATCTTTATAGGCACAATGGGGACAACATTTGGCAATCTCCTCATCATAATTTTGTAGGGGGTTGACCGTTTAGATTTTTTGCTACACGGATTTGAAGTTGACAGGGGTGAAAATCTCACTTCCGACACAATGATTGCTCTGCAGAAAGACACTTTACACCCCCTATCCTTCCGCTGTAATATCATCAGTATTACCCAAAACTGCTATGAAATTGCAAATTTGATCCCTTTTCTCCAATTCTAGACCAAAAAGTCAACCCAAAAATGCAGGAAGAGGGGAGAAAAAAATTAAGGGAAAAATTGTCTATTTATAACTCGCACTACATTCGTCCATCATGAAATAAGGGGAAATAATTACTAGTCTTAGTCCATAATGGTCTCTTGTAGTACCTTTTGGTAATCCTATATATCATTTAGTACAGACTGTACACCATGTTCTAAGGTTGTGTTTATATACCAGTTAGAAACTACTTTACATCCTTATTAAGGGGAGATAACCACACTGTAATAGTTTCATAATTATCATAACCACTATATATCACGTAGTCCAAACTGTAAACCCTGTGGTGTGTATTTATATTATTTACTACAGACTGTAAACTGTAAGGCTGTGTTTCTTTACTACCAGTTATGATCGATTGTAAATCGTATGTTTTACAAGCCTTATTTCAATTCCGATCAGACGTATTCACATTTCAGTTCGTAGACAGAAAGATACGACCCCACTCCGTCCCCTTCTCGTTTACAAATTATTCTAAGGCACAAACTGTAGACTATAACTATTTATTATAAGTTATCCAAGTAATCAGTAAATATAATCCGTACATCACTTAATTTGTACACATTCAATATGACGGAAATAACTCACTGCTTACAAGTAACTTGCCCCTAGCTAGTTAAATGAATATGATGTTATGAATATCTAGTGAACTACCCTATAATATGTATTAATAGAAGTTGTATTGTAAAAATATCACGTGGTTACCTTTTGTATGTGTTAATAAAGGCAGATTATTACCCACAGCGAGCACATGACTGTAATTAATTTCATATAATACAAAATCAAAATAAATCATGACACAGTTCTTTAGAATATAATTTCTACAACGATTCTCTAATTTTTAACCATCATATTTTATATTTTACCAACAACAGAAGAAATATCCTCCGAGAGTAAGTGCGGGAGAAACAAACCCGACAAGACAAACCTGTGGACAAGAGAAAAATACATAGATGTTACAAAAAATAGACAACAAATATCGAATTAAGTGAATGGATTACACGGCACCAAAAGACATTTTGGCCCCATTCATTATTTTTGTAAATGACCCCCAATCATTCCATATATCGGTTAAACTTCATTCCCCTGTTTGATCTTTTGATTATTTTCAATATTTTAAAGTATATATTACATTCTATATTTATATGTTCATAGATAAATGTATATTATATAAGATATTTTATATTAATTTATGTTTTCATAAATAAAATATTTACATAAATGAAATATTGTATATTTTCATAAATAAAATATTGTATATTTTCATAAATAAAATATTATATATTTTCATAAATAAAATATTATATATTTTCATAAATAAAATTTTATATATTTTCATAAATAGAGTGTATATTATGTAATATATTTTATTGTTTTGTTGTTTATATATAAATATCTCCTGTGTCCCAACTGTTTGAAGTATTGCGCACACTCAATAATTACATACTAGTTGTTGAAGCACGGAACGATTGTTTCGTCTGCTTTAATTTCAATGACTAGTTCTTTGATTTATTTTGGGGACGGGGGAGTCACGGTGGCTAAGTAGGTAAGACGCTGGCTCGCTAGATCGGAGGTCGGGTGTTCGATCCCTGCATTTCCCGGCGTAGTTTCCCCTTGTCAGTCGTGCAGGACGGAGGGCCTAGCAAGCACAGCTATCTAGTCGTTCGGATGGGACAGACAACTGAGGTCCAGTGATCACATTGCGTGCACGTAAAATATCCCCTGGCAGTTGGAATTCGATATAAGAGTAGGCCGTAGGGCCGCTGCCCAGGCAAAATTTTCCTCATTAGCCCAGTTGGGAGCAGAACAGTAGGACGTTAAACCATACTGCTACATTCTGAATTTTGATAGTGTTCTGACATATGAACAGTTGTATTTACCATTAGGGTTAGGAGGTGAGGGTGATGGCTACCTTTTATTCGTTTCAAATATCTCTTACGGGGTAGCCTTTATTCGTAACCACAATGTTTACGAATTTCACAAAGACTGCACCAAGACTTTGAGAGGCTGAAGAAAAGCCTAGCTTTAACTGGGTTTCCGATAAATTGGTTATTTTTGGACTGGACACAGTATAGTGACAATAACGTTGGACATCAATGTCCTTGAATAATAATAAAAATAATATTTAGACATCACTGTACATGTACAATAATAACAACATAATGATATACCTACGTATAATAATAATGATAGGTTAGATTACAATATGTAAAAACAAATCAATTCACAATAACATAACTCTATACCTATGTATAATAACAATGAAATAATTATATACCTATGTACAATAACAATAAAAAAACTGCCTATGTATAATAACAATAACATACCTATGCATAATTACAATGACATAAATATGTACCTATGCATAATAACAATAACATAACTATATAGCTATGTATAATAATAATGACATAACTATATATTTATGTATAATAACAATAACATAACTACATACTTATATATAATAACAATAACATAACTACATACTTATATATAATAACAATAACATAACTACATACTTATATATAATAACAATAACATAATCATACACCTATTTATAATAACAATAACATAACCATATACATATGCACAATAACAATAACATAACAATATACCTATGTATAATAACAATGACAGGTGAGATTACAACATGTAAAAAAACAAAACAAATCACACATTTTTGATAAATTCTCTTTTCATTTTACAGAGATTCATGTCGTCTCTTTTCAGCGTCATTATTGTGATCCCCTTTACACTACCAAGTTCATATCCACAATTTGATGTCTTCTCTTTCACAACAGGGATTGGTGTCACTATTTTCACAACAGGGATTGGTGTCGTCACTGCCACTTCAACGGTTTGTGCCACCACTGACACATCAACGGTTCACTGTCATATCCACAGGTCTTGTCATCAATATCATATCAACAGGTATTGTCATTGCTTTTTCAATGTGTACACTAAAATACCTACAAGCACAATAAGAACAATAAACACAATAACTAATAATGCTATTACTAAACAACATTTACAGCCGCTTGTGGGACTTTTTCTTCTGTTCGCCGCAAACCCGCCTTCTTCTAGGAGATGTTCATACTTTGTCTGTGGTTCATTTGTAATCGCCTGAGGCCACTGTGTCGTTGGAATGAATTGGGTTGTCGCTTTGTCTTCTAGTTCCATAGAGACGGGTAGATATCCATTTGTATGTGGTCCACATTTAATCGCCCGGGGCCACTGTGGCGTTGGAATTAATTGGGTTGTTGCTTTGTCTTCTTGTTCCATGGAGACGTGTTGATATTCATTTTCTGATTTGAATTTGATAAACGTCGTTGTTGCGCATTTCTCTATTTTATCCATTTTATCTTCATCCAGTGTTCTATCGGTTGTATCCGAAAAGGGGTTGACAGGATCCAGAATGTAAGGTTTATCTGGAAAATGTCGCTTCCTGAAACAGTTAAAGATAGAGTTACAACAGATTCAGTTTGATTTCTGTGTAAAAATGATTAGTGATAAGCGGCACAGGATTCACGATCAAATGGAAAGGGTCAGATGGGACTGTGTCCCCGATCATGTTATTGATCCTTTCTGATATTAGTGCTTGGTTGAGCCCTCTGTATTTAATACACCTTACATATTTACCCCATCTTTCAGCACTGAATAGTTATAAACTGATGTCGTTAGTGTGCTGAAATTTTGAACATAAGTCGATGTTTGAGAATTATTCCCCTTGCGTATCTTATGGGTTTTCTTTACGTGCGTGTGGTCCTCCTTCATTTAGTAGTAAAGATTCTACCAGATTTCCCAAGCCAGATTCCAACTTGCGGTTTCTGTCTGTGAATTTTGGCCCGATATCCCTTGCACTAGACCATTCACCGTTTACCGCAACGTAATCAAAGGCAACAATTATTTCAGAATTAACACAGTTATATGGGAAAATAATCACTGGTTTATTATATACAAGCACTGTGATAGTTCTCTTATGTCCCCAATCGCTAAATGTCACTAAAGGATTATGAATAATTATTTCATAATTATTGGAATTCTGTCGAAATTGGAAAAGATTCTTTCGCTCAATAAAAAAGGAATACTTTTCATTTAAAAAAGATAACAAACCGTTCATAACAAAGGGTTCAAGGGCAATAACTCTAGCTTTAATTATACTACTTCGTCTCGAAAACCAACAATGTATATAATCTTTTACACGCTCGTATAGTAATTGCAGGTCAAAGTGTTAACATGAATTTATTTAATGATGCAAGCTGTACATAACAGGAATGAGGTCAATTTCAATTAAATGAAATGAAATGGGGTTTAACGTCCTACTGAGGTCAATTTCAATTCATGTTACGGGGGCTACAGTGGAAATCGCTGGCTCACTAACCAGGAGATTTCCGGATTTAAGCCATGTGTTGGCGAAATTTCAGTTCATTGTTCAACCGAGAAGGGTGGAAGGTCTGACAAGAAATATCGTCATGTACATGTTGGCGTGCACGTAAAAGAACCCTTGGAAGTTGTAATTCGAACAGTAGGCGCGAACGTCGCTTTCTGTATATAGCGTATGTCTGTCTTCATTAGCCCAGTTGGTGCAGAACGGTAGGACGTTAAACACCATTTAAACAGATAGAAGTATGAACGGACGGACGACTCGAAAGACAGACCTTCGGGTATCCCCGGCAAGGAACTAATAAGCACATAGCTATAATTACCAGAATTTCATTTCACTTACCATCGTTTAATTTTATAGTAAAATGGAAGAGCGACATAAAGAGTTTTATAGCGACTCAAAAATCTCATGGCCTCCACGAAAGCTTCACTGACATCAAAACATTCTTCCTCGTCAAACCATTTATAATGTACAAACATACCAATCACCTCACAGCAATATGACTTGATAGGGACATGGAATCTCTAAAAAAAACAATTTAAGTTCAGTTTAAAGTATCAATCTTGTTATTATTTTAGTTTTAAAAACAAATCACACCCAATCTTTGTATGGAGTTAAAACATCTGCCCCTCAAATACCTGATCACCACCCAGATTCGGAATCTACGTACACAAATGATCTAGAAAAACCTTGTCTCATAAATTCACAGCTCAAGTGGGGATTCCGACACCGTCCCTTTAGCCACCGGACTACAAGGCTTTCGGCAAAGGGGGTTACTCTGGAACGGAAAGTAGCACAACACGGGCGATCGATAGGGTTAGTTGTCTCATGGTCACAATTATGCTTCCGCCATATTAAATATGAATTCATTTAACACTAAGCCTCAATCGCGTTCAAAAATGTTTCGGAAATGTGACATAGCTCCGGAATGAAAACCGCGGACCGTTGAAAATCGACAGGGTTCGTTTGCTCATGACCGCGATGCTACACACCACATTTAATAAGAATGCGTCAAAAACTGTAGCATCTATCGCGTTCACAAGCTAATTGTTGGCGGACGGACAGACGGGCGGACGGGTGATGGCTTAATATCACATAAAACTACCACATCGGGAGTAAATAGGCAGATTGCTACCCCTAATCAAGTCAACAAAATACAATTCAGTGAAATCGAAGTTTACATTCCAAAATGTCGTCTATGAACTCGGGAGCAAGAACAGATACGACCTATGGCGACCCAAGCATTTTGCCTAACTACTTACATTTTTCCAGCTTTTGAGCAAATAAATTAGGTCGTGTACATTGTTTGGTTTGTTCTGCATCATCTTTCGCTGAATTTTTGCAAAGCAAGCCGAATAATGACTTCTTATATACTCTTGTTTGAATTCCATTTCCTTGTATACAGATAAAAGGTCATTGGGTGAATAGTGGTCTGAAAAATAACATTCCAAAATTATCACCTTTAATATAAATCCGAAAATATCTGGTTACTACACATATAAAGATAACAGGTCATTGGTTGAATAGTGGTCTGAAATATAACATTCCAGAAATATAAACGTCAACACAAGTCGGATAATATCAGGTTACCACATTTTTCATTTGGCACGGTTATAGGCCGCAATTATCAACCGATGTGCATGATAAAAGTAGCTAAAATTTCGACTACTTCCAATTAGCCTTTTCCGATATATCGGGCTTACAAACATTTCATTTTGCACGGCTGCATACCTCAATAATCAAACGATTTCAAGAAAATTTACAAATCCTGATAACATTATTAATATCGCAGAGTGGACATAATTTCGACCGCTTCCAGTCAATAGTTTCGGAGATATCAAATTATAATAGAACTTGCTCGGGCGTGCACTCCTAATCAGCGAACACTTGCTTCAACGAGCACCAACAAATACCCCCGAGCGATGTTTAAGTAATTTAACCTCTACTAAACACGCACCTGTTCAACGCGTGCAACGGGCATCACGATTAATTCCCCCCCCCCCACTAAAAATTCTACTGTTTCAACGGTCACTCAACAAAACATAGCCCATTCAACGGCCATTGTTGAATGATACCATCTTGTCGTCCTGTGAGTAGTAGTTAATTAACTGGATCCCCACTGATCAGGTAAAAAGAAATGTAAAAATAACAATCAACCCGGGATAATCTGTTTATTAATCTTTTGTTTTATTAAACGACTAACCTGGTCATTGTTTTCACGCGGAACGACACATTATTTGATACTGATTGAATAAAATGAAAGTACCGAGTTTTGTCACGATCATCTAGTATCTCTTTTCCATTGCCACTTTGTTGTTGAACAGACGTTTTAGCGCCCCCTATAATATTACATACAGACTTAGACCCCTGTAAATCGGTGATGAAATCAGCGATGTTTTTTTGTTCATGTGCTTTTTTTGATAAAATAAAAGTAATTCATCGATTTTCTTCACAAAAATGGATAAATATTATCGAATGCATCACAATGGTAGACAGTAGTATCGAAGGTTGGTACAAAATGACAAGTTTACAGAAGTTATGTTCGAGATTTGAGTAAAGAATTTTCGTTCGGCGCAAGATTCAGCGACGGTCAAATTTATCGATGCAAGTATTGATGTTCGCCCCCGATGCACCCAAGCGTAATTAATTTATGTCAGCACAAAAAGCATCGAGATTTTATTATGTGGTCGCGTAATCGCTAAAATAGTAGTGGTGGGAAATACTCAAATTCACGGCATTTTGAAACGCTTTTAGACGCTATGATTCAGTATGATGAAAGTAAAAGAAATATTGGGGGGTCAGAGATCCAGTATTACTAAACAAACATGTATACGCGACTACTTTGAATTCACAACTAGATAAAAAAAAGTACATGTATTGTTATTGTTATACTAATGAATAATCTATATCTTTTTTGTGGTAGGGGTTGGGGCAATATTGGATACCTCTAGTCAAAGAGCACCTCCATTAAGCAAGCATTTTTAAATTTCCCTTGGGTGCTTGCTTAATACAAGTTCTACCTTGCGGTCGGCAGCCGTGCCACATAGAATATTTGGTAAACCCAATATCTCAGAAACCGCTAACCGGAAGTAGACGAAATCCTGTCTATCCCAAAATATTATTAATGTTATCGTATTCTGTAAGCGCAACATTTAAGGCGTCTCTCGTCAATAAAAACGCACATGAACAAACTATTTCTATAATCTGGATAATATAGTTTAATCAAATGAGTGTTTTAGTTGTGACTTAAAGATTGTGAAAGTTTGAGATTCTCTAATGTTTATTGGTTAGTGCAGCAGCACTGAAGCTTTTATCATCAATTAGCGCCCCCCCCCCCATACTTTAATTGCCACATTATGGCAAATAGCCTCTAAATTTCCTTACCCCATGTGAAAAATAGCCCCCGAATTTACTATTGACTTCCACATGTGGCAAATAACCCCCGAATATAATTTACTTACCACATGTGGCAAATAGTCACCGAATTGACTTACCACATGTGGCAAATTAGAGCAGGGGCCCGGGGGCTGGGAGTCAGTCTAGCTAGGCTAGATTAGCTGAAGACCGTACCATCTAAAACTGCTTAGAAGTTGTTCAGTTCCACCACGGGAATCAAGAATGACCATTGCCAGACAGTGGGGGTGGGGTGCACCTGATCAGGGATATCTTTGACACTAAATACTTTGAAAAGTATAAAACTAGACACAGCAGATTTTACTACCCGATTTAAAACTAACTTACCATCTAAAACTGGCATAGCGGGTAAAATATCTAGGTGGAAAGATCTGTTTGAATTAAAAAGCCTTATTTCATATTGAATAAGGTAGTTGTTTTTCCGAACAAAAGACATGTATTGAAATTGGTGTATGTACAGGTCATCAAAATAGTTAAAGATGTCATCTATAATTTGATGTTTGTCAGCGATTAATTCTTCAATATTATTGTATTCGTTGAAAAACACAATAAGATCAATGTCAGATCCCTTCTTCATCGCCGTTCCTTTACCCAGCGATCCACCCTGAAATTGAGAGAGAGAGAGAGAGAGAGAGAGAGAGAGAGAGAGAGAGAGTTTAACGTCAACTTGACACATGCTAAAATATGATTCAATTTCATTTCAATAATTCGCTGGAAAACCAGAGGACCCAGAGAAAACCCACAAAGTTGGACTGCCGACCCTACTACTTGTACACGCAGGAAATCGAAACCACGCCACCCGACTCAATCATAATTTAGAGTGTTAAATCTATGCATGTTACAACAAAAATAGATCATATCGTTCTTTACTCATTTGGATAGCCTAAATTTATTGTAATAGTTGTCAAAAGAAAAATATTTTCCATATATAAAAGCAAGTGTGGATGCGACATCATTATCGGTCTCTATTGGGTTGATCAGGGAGATAATTTTAACATCTAGGTAAGATTAATTGATATTGTAGTGGAAAATTTATGGTTCAAATGTATTTTGTCGGTCATCGAGCGATTTTTCTTTTTGTATTTATTCTTGCTCGATTCCTCATTAGTGTATGAGACATATTGTACGCCAGGTTGCTTTCCACTCATGTCGTCATAATGTTTCATTTCAAGGAATTTCGAGAAATGTTTTTGGAGATATATTTTCGGAGAAATGTTTTTGGAGATATATTTTCGGAGAAATGTTTTTGGAGAAATGTTTTGCAAGATTTGTATTTGGAGATTTGTATTTAGAAATGTGTTGTTCGATATTTGTTTTCGTGGTATGACTCTAAATGTAGGCTAATTGTGTGATTTTCTAAATTAAATTCTATCTTTATATGAAACTATTTTATATATTAAAACAATACAATTTACAATTTTGATAACACAAATGTCAGGATTGGTAAAACAAATATTAAATTTAAGATACAAATGTTAATTTTACTGTGTACACATATCGGGATACGACAACAAATGAAGAAATAAGAATCAAGGACTATGAGTTCAGAACATAGAATTGAGGACACTGAATAAAGAGCTGTTTGGTCTTCCATACTACAGGCCGGTGAAAATCTTATCGTTGCTGTTTGGAGAACTGTGTGCGTGTTAGAATGTTTTATGAATAACTTATTAAATCAGAAAAGGTACTATAGGCCTATATTTAGTAGCGTTCTTGTTGAACCTAATCTTGTGTGCGATTAACATGTTTTGTAATTGATCTTTTAATTCACCGTAAGAAGTTATAAGTAGTTTTCGCACTGGACATTCTTTTTAAACTCGACATTTCCATCTTAAAGCCAGAGTCTCAGCCAGAATATGAATACTATCATTTTCCTTTGACGGTTAAGCACATTCTTAAAGAGTGTAAACATCTCAAAGATATTAGATTAAATTTTTTTACCTCTTCAAGTCTCTGCGTCAATTATTTGCTCAACCGGAGCTATATTGTAAAACGTTACACTTTTTAAAAGAGACAAATTTTTGTCGAAAATTTTAATTTGTATACATACATGTTTTTGTTTTTTCATGTTTTATATTTTAAATGTTCATTAAATTTGATGATGTGTAATTTTAATCATGTTGACTGTGATACATGTTTTTATTGACGTGATATTATTCCATTTGTCTCGTAGACGTCACCATGTGTTTGGCGCAATACCCGAGAGAAGATGACATGCCATAAAACCATATTTTATTTCATTTCACTAAAGTTACATTGATTGTCGATTTATTTAAGGTTTTATTTTTCGGAATTAAACTTAATTATATTATTGATGTTATTTGTTTTACTTAATGCATTTGAAAACGTAACTGGTGTAGGGTTTCGCAAGAGTGGTATCTTGCAGGTGTTATACATGTCGTGACATACAGGCCTTATGATCCAAAGCTGTGGTGTGTTTCAGGTTACAGTGTATTTACGAAATGAACCTTGATTTAGAACCACAGGAAAATGAAAGTAACATTTAATTGTGCCGTATTTTGGTCGCTTCCACTGTACTAAGAATAAAGTTGAATCATACCTTTATAATTTCTTTGATACTGTAATCTGGTAACTGATGAAGTAATCTAACTAACTGGTCTATAACAAGTGATAACGTTTCTTGGAGTTTATCTGGCCAGTCTGTTATATCATACAGGTAGTCATCTATATCATCCACATGTTGGGGAAAATGTAGGCGTTTACGTCCCATTTTAGAAGTAAATCTGAAACAAAAACGAGAAAATTTCATTTCTAAAAAGAGCACATGAAGAAATCGTTTGAAGTTCAACTAGCCAGCATGTTATATGGTGAAGGTAGTTATATATATTGTCTAAATGTTGAGAAAATGTGGGCGATGACGTCCCATTTAGCCACTAAATCTGAAACAACAACGGGAAACTATCCTTCGTGTGTAAAGTTTCCTTGATGGGATAACCACTCTTGGAGTATGGGGAGCTTGGTATCTCTGCCACCATTGATCAATTCCTTACTGATCACGAGCCACATGTAAAACGGAACTTCGGAGGGTGTATAAAAAGTGGTCATTGGCTAAAAAGTGGTCATTAACGGTGTTTTGCTAAAATTAAGATAAGTTTCACCGTAGTTAAAATGGAACTACGTTTTTGTATTTCCAAAGAACAGTTCATTTTTTTATTAAAAGTAACTTCTTTCTTATTAAAAAGGAACTATTTTTATATAATTGACCTTGGTGGAAACACTTGGTCAATATAAAGCACTTTGCAATGGTTGAATTGCTGTCAAAAAATGATGTATCACTACGCCGTAATGTAATCAGGTTCAGTAAAAGTGAAGTCTATAGCAAAGAATTATATTTATTTATTTGTGAATGTAAGAAAAGATTGTGTGATAAATAAAATTCCCTCCTCGTCTTTTTTGATATCAAAAAATATCAACACTCGTCGATAAAGTAAAAAACAACTTGGCGGGGCCTCGTTTTTGTTTTACTTTATCGACTTGTGTTAATATCAAAAATGACTCGTGGTATTTACAGCTTCAATACGTTTTTTTCTGTTAACTGTCCTTTTACGGGTGAAGCGCAATCAGTGTTTATGAATAAATTAACCACACAATGGTTCAGTATATCAGTGGTTTATTTATTACTATACAGTAAAAACCCTGAAATATAAATAACACAATCAAACATAAAATCAATGCGTTCATATTCATTAAAATAATATAAACCTCTAAATACTATTTACATATACTTATATATATATACTTAATATATAATATGAATATGTTAAAGGGGAACTAACTCCTGTTATTCAGTATGAAATATACAGATATAAACTAATTAACCTTACTAATAGTAATAGGTTCTTAACCAAGAAGGGGTGGTTTTTAATGAAAGTAGCCAGAGACTGGAACGAGGTGAAGTACCCTATCCGCTCACTGTAATAAAATATGGGGTATTGTATTTGAAATGTAGAATATGTATATTTAGGTTCAAACCTTACGGGGGGGGGGGGGGTAATGAAAGTAGCCAGAGACTGGAACGAGGGGAAGTCCTATCCGCTCACTGTAATAAAATATGGGGTATTGTATTTGAAATGTAGGAAAGAATATGTATATTTAGGTTCAAACCTAAGGGGGGCGGGGTAATGAAAGTAGCCAGAGACTGGAACGGGAGAAAGTACCCCATCCGCTCACTGTAATAAAATAAGGGGTATTGTATTTGAAATGTAGGGAAGAATATGTATCGGCAATAAATGTATTATTAAAGCGAAAGGCTTTAAATATTGTTAATACTATTGATTTTATACAATGTATTTGTAGAATGTAATTAGTAAAAACCAGATTAACTTTAACATATTTGAAAACTTTACTAAAAAACCGAGATGGCCGCCACTTTAACAAATACCATTTAAATAATGAAATATATATATATATAATAAAACGAATATTAACACGCCCCTTTAAACTGTAACCAACAAATCTGTAGATAATAATGCAAATACACACGATTGATGAAAGTAACAATCGAATCGACAATATAAAAATGATACCAAGGTTGAATGAAACATGCATCCTTACTCTAATAAAAAATTGTATAGTGACCCAGGTAATGAAAAATACAAATCCAATATGTTTATATTGGTTACACTATATATATAAGAAAACATCAATCATTAGATGATAATAATTATTTACTTATTATATAAATCATTTTAACAGGTAGGAATGATCTTTTACCCTAATCTAAAAACAATTACCCTGGTTAGAATGGTATGAACAATTAAGGTAGAGTATTTAAAGAAATGATTACGAGAGAACATAAGACAATAGACTTCTATGATATAATACATGTTTAATATAAATAGAAATGACAATGTACTGCGCTAACAAATTATGAAATATGATAGTATCAGTAAATATCAAAAAAACAAAGTAGTCGCGAACATCTTGGCTCTTGACTGCTTCACGTGTATGATGACAAGATGATTATGTTGACAGTGCACATCAAATTCTCCGAAGCCCCACCCACCCCCTCCCTGCAAACCACCACCCCAACCAACCTCCAACAGAAGAGATTCAATGTAGGTAGGCTAACTACTATAGAGCTGACCGTACTTGCTATCGTAGTTCACAAACAGATGTAGGTAGGCTAACTACTATAGAGCTGACCGTACTTGCTATCGTAGTTCACAAACAGATAATGAAAAGAGGTTATTTTGAAAATTTCATTCAAATTACTTTATACTGATCGGAGTTATCACTGTAGATCGTTTACTAAGGGTGATTTTTCATTTTGTCGTTAATAATTAAATGTTCTCGAGAGTTGATAATATTATAGGCTTGTCATGTGAATAAATGTCTAAATAATAACATTTAAAGCCAGGAAAACGACCTGCAACATGCAGATGTAGCTGTTATATAATGCATCTTGAAATTACAGAACTGAAGCGTTGGAAATAATAATAAATAAACATAATTCTTACTCGTAAACTGCAAAAATAACAATAACAGTCAGTATTTACCGTCTTTAGTCTTTTGTTATTTTGATCGATGGTGTGGTGTCTTATTACACACTGATCAGCAGTGAATATTCGCTAGACCATGACAATCACTGATAAGGATGACATCTATGCGACTTAATGAGCCAAATATATTAACTTTTTTCCTCCGACAAATTACATTCTAAAACAATTTTTTATGTATTAGAAAAATAAATTAATAAAGACGTTTGAAGTATTTGTAGGTAAAATATATTTCCTGTTTAGTGTAAATGGGTATTAAAATGAGTAAAAGGCACCATTCTGTCCGATTCAGTAACATCTTATGTAGACAACCCAAACGCCTTTGAGCCAATGATTGACGTCGCGTGATGTACCTCACGTGTTGAAGTCAGTCATCTTTTACCGAGATATTAGATGGCTTTCGTAATCCTATGTGACACAGATTTGTCTTATTATAGTAACGATGCCCAGTCAATCGCTCAGCAGTTTGCAGCTGAAGACGAGTCGTTATCTGCGCAGCCGCGGTGGCTGAGTGGTGCCTCGTTGGCCCGCTAACCGGGGGACGACCGAGGAAGTTCATCAGGACTCTCCCGGGATGAAAATTCGAAGTTCTGTGTACACATTGGCGTGAACGTAAAAGAACCCTTGACCATTGGAATTGCATAGCACACTGTATGGCGTATGCCTGTCTTCATCATCCCAGTCGATGCAGAGCAGTAGGACGTTAAATCCCATTCCTCTTCATTGTGATTTCTTACTTATTTTACAAGTATATTATATATACAGAGAAGAAAGACCTTACCGTATAATTTACTGACATTACATTGACACATTTATAGAAATATACTAGACAGCCCAGCTCTCACTGAAACATCTATAGACAGACACAAGCTATATAACTGACAGTATATCGACTATTCCAAAGAAAAACTTACGGTGTCTGTATTCTCTCTATTCCAAGAATTCTATTCTCTTCAGTTTCTATATTCAGTCAAACATTGCAAGGTGTAATATCTTGTCAGGTAAACCCACCAGTGTAAATCTATTGAATGGGACGCTCGTGTAATGTTATGATTGGCTAAATAGAAAAGGGAAATTCCCTTTTTATACTATTATTTATAGCCCAGTTGTGTTTTCCAATTTCATTACAGCATCTAAATGTTGTTTATTTATAAACATCTTCGATGGGAAGCCGCTGTGAATCAGTGCGCCTGGGTTCGCGGGTTCGCTCCCGGTGTTGGACGAGAAAGTTCCGGCTTGGTTTCCCTTTGTCAGGGGCGCTGGAGAGCTGTCTAGTCCTTCGGTTGAGACAAAAAAAACCCGGTCCCGTGTAGACAAGTAGACAATAGGTCGTTAAACCCCATTTCATTTCATTTTCATCATTTTCTACATAAAAGAGTAGTATAGTAATCAGCTGGTGTTTATATAAAGTAGGGTATGAAATTGATCCCGTGTTATTAATAGAACTTGTAGAAACCGAACGGAAATGACTTAAAAGACGCGGTATTTTTAAATACGGCTCAATAGATGTATACAATCAGGTACAGTTAGTTTTTCTATAGTGACACGCTTAATGCTCTTTAGTTAGGGGCGCCGCGGTGGCTCAGTGGGTAAGATATTGGCTCGCTAACCTGGAGGTTAGCTGGGATTATAGGATGCTGAATTTCGACATGACGCAAATAAAATTTAATAAAAATGTACATTCATTATAGTTATTTCCCTTTAATCATTCTTGTAATAATTCATTGTATTATTATTGTATATTTCAGTTAATTGGTCCTTTCACAAATTTCATTTTGTTTTTATATTCTTTTTGTAATCTTATTATACATGATATACATGTATATTGACAATTGATATGATCCGACAAATTCATCGCTGTGCGTTTATATAACTTTGTTTGATTTTTTGTGCAATGTTATGGGGTTTCAAAAGAAACATAGTCAATGCTATAGTCAAGTTATTTTTCTAAGGTAAATATAAAAAATATGTTAGATTAGATAAACACTAATTTCTTGTCTGCAATATCAGTTAGGTGGGCGCGTAGTTTATGTATTTATGTAAATAGTATTTTGACATACGGATCTGAAATTTGGGGCTTTCATAAAGCTTATGACATAGAAAAAGTACATTTAAACTGTTGTAAACGGTTATTGGGTGTTAAACAGTCCACTAACAATAGTATGGTTTATTATGAACTGGGTCGATATCCATTGTATATCCAAAGAAAAATACACATTTTAAAAAATTTTTTAAAATTATTATGTGCTAAAAATAAATTATTAAAGTCGTGTTTAGATGAAATGGTAATGATTTGTACATCGAAACTGGTCGCTTTGAGAAAATAGAGCGTGCAAAGAGAATTTGTAGATTACGTAACTTGAAAGAAATAGAAGATGAATACCATCATGTTATTATATGTCCATATTTATATGATTATAGGAAAAAATATATAAAATCTTACTATTTTGTTAACCCAAATATCTTTAAATTTTTTCAGTTATTATCGGTACAAAATATCAAAGAACTGAATAATCTTGGTTTATATCTTTCTCTTACCGATAAAAAACGTAATGAATACATCTGTTCTCTTTCAAAATATAATTATAATATATAATTTGTTTAGGTTTATAAGCTGTCTGTGTAGTCATTACACAGTTTTTAATAACGTTCAATTTTTAATTATATCCTTCACTTTCCGACCACAAACGAAATGTATATTTTAGGTCTTTCTCAATAACAATATAAACGATAACTGTATATATTTGTATATATATTATTTATTTATTGTATTTTTATTTCATTGTATCTGATAAGTCGCATGACTTAAAGAATTGAATAAAGTAAGTGTTCAAAGTAAGTGTTCAAGTAAAACTATTTCACACACACGGCGTTCTTGATTAATTTATTTCCCCAATCAGGTATCACAACACGGCAGTTGTTACTAACACCTATATAGGTCAACGATATCCAGGATGCTAATCAATTAACCATGACAAAATATTACATTATTTGTTACCCATTTTGACTGTACATTCTTGATATTATGCAAAAGAAGAACCACCAAACACAACAAATAATCCATTATTATTATTCAAAAAAGCATAACATTTCATCTTTCCAATACGCCAGTTTATGTTCTATATTTACAGTAGAAAAAAACCCTGATTATAGCAATGACTATATTGTTTGATACATGCTTTAGGAATTTGTGAAAATTAAGATTTTGCTTTTATTTAATACGAAAATGAAACCAGTCCAAACTATAACATGATAATGTTATAAAATGTTCAAAGAAAGAAACAGACAAGACAAGAATACAAGCCATACCATAAATTATTATCGCATTATTGATGTCCATATGTCTTCATAATTAAACGTTTTAATTAAAGTTTAATGTATGAGGTGTGCTTTATTTTCCATTTAATTGACAATTGGTATGAGTCGACAAATTCATCGCTGCACGTAGATATAGCCTTGCTCCAATAATGCCATTTTGTGCAATGTTATCGGGTTTCAAAGGAAACATAGTCAATGTTATATAGAGAGAGAACTGGAGTTTAACGTCCACTCGACACAAACTAGGTCATTTCGGGACTAACATATGGTTTAATTTTATTTCAATAATTCGCTTGCGCGTGGGGGTCTTTAGCAGTTGGAGGAAACCGGAGGACCCGGAGAAAACCCACGAGGTTGGACAGGCGACCCTACTCCTTGTCACGTACAACCGGGGAATCGAAACAACGCCAGTTGACTCAATGACAGACTTTATGGTACAGCACGCACGTGCTAACCATTCAGCCCCCCCCCCCTCAATGCTATAGTGTTCGATTAAATAAACACTAATTTCTTGTCTGCGATATCAGTTAGGTCGTAGCGTACGTCAAGTAAAACTATTTCACACACACAGCGTTCTTAATTAATAATGGCCCCAATCAGATATCGCAACACCGCAGTGGTTACTTTTAAGTACCTATAAAGGAATCTAATCAATCAACCATGACAATAAATTTTACCCAAGATGTTTAGGAGTATTAATTTGATAATGATATGCAAATAGTTGATCTTTAAGAAGGGCAATAATTCAGAGAATGATCCGATTGGTTCTTTGCTTATTAATCGTTTGGTTTAATAAAGATTTTTGTAAGAACACCCCAGTTTATAATGGATTATTTGTTCTACTACCTTCGTAAAAAAGTGGTGGTCCGCCATGGTCTGAGAATGACGATGTCTTATTCCACTGTATGTTTTATTATTACACTGGTAAAAAATCAACGGGTTCACTGGATTCAGTCTCATCTTTAGACCTGTTGTTAGACCGAAACGGTACAGTTAGATTGGAATATAGTTGGCTAGAATTTACCATATTTACACATGACAGTATATTCCAGTATGATCAAGTACAACAAAAACGACGGTTTTGTATTGTGTGTGAATTCTGTGATCTATTCAATGGTGGTCTCAATGCTATAGTAAGGTTATTTTTCTACAGTAAATATAGAAAATAAACTGGCGTATTGGAAATATGAAATGTTATGCTTTCTTGAACAATAATAATGGATTTTTTGTTATGTGTGATGGTTCTTCTTTTGTTAGATTATATATAAACATTAAAATAATATAAACCTCTAAATACTATTTACATATACTTATATATATATACTTAATATATAATATGAATATGTTAAAGGGGAACTAACTCCTGTTATTCAGTATGAAATATACAGATATAAACTAATTAACCTTACTAATAGTAATAGGTTCTTAACCAAGAAGGGGTGGTTTTTAATGAAAGTAGCCAGAGACTGGAACGAGGTGAAGTACCCTATCCGCTCACTGTAATAAAATATGGGGTATTGTATTTGAAATGTAGAATATGTATATTTAGGTTCAAACCTTACGGGGGGGGGGGGGGTAATGAAAGTAGCCAGAGACTGGAACGAGGGGAAGTCCTATCCGCTCACTGTAATAAAATATGGGGTATTGTATTTGAAATGTAGGAAAGAATATGTATATTTAGGTTCAAACCTAAGGGGGGCGGGGTAATGAAAGTAGCCAGAGACTGGAACGGGAGAAAGTACCCCATCCGCTCACTGTAATAAAATAAGGGGTATTGTATTTGAAATGTAGGGAAGAATATGTATCGGCAATAAATGTATTATTAAAGCGAAAGGCTTTAAATATTGTTAATACTATTGATTTTATACAATGTATTTGTAGAATGTAATTAGTAAAAACCAGATTAACTTTAACATATTTGAAAACTTTACTAAAAAACCGAGATGGCCGCCACTTTAACAAATACCATTTAAATAATGAAATATATATATATATAATAAAACGAATATTAACACGCCCCTTTAAACTGTAACCAACAAATCTGTAGATAATAATGCAAATACACACGATTGATGAAAGTAACAATCGAATCGACAATATAAAAATGATACCAAGGTTGAATGAAACATGCATCCTTACTCTAATAAAAAATTGTATAGTGACCCAGGTAATGAAAAATACAAATCCAATATGTTTATATTGGTTACACTATATATATAAGAAAACATCAATCATTAGATGATAATAATTATTTACTTATTATATAAATCATTTTAACAGGTAGGAATGATCTTTTACCCTAATCTAAAAACAATTACCCTGGTTAGAATGGTATGAACAATTAAGGTAGAGTATTTAAAGAAATGATTACGAGAGAACATAAGACAATAGACTTCTATGATATAATACATGTTTAATATAAATAGAAATGACAATGTACTGCGCTAACAAATTATGAAATATGATAGTATCAGTAAATATCAAAAAAACAAAGTAGTCGCGAACATCTTGGCTCTTGACTGCTTCACGTGTATGATGACAAGATGATTATGTTGACAGTGCACATCAAATTCTCCGAAGCCCCACCCACCCCCTCCCTGCAAACCACCACCCCAACCAACCTCCAACAGAAGAGATTCAATGTAGGTAGGCTAACTACTATAGAGCTGACCGTACTTGCTATCGTAGTTCACAAACAGATG